GTATTTTTATTTTTAGTAAAGAACTGTTATTCCTATTCCCATTTCTTTGCCTGAGAGCCCCTTCATTTCAAAATCACAATAATTTGGAGGGAGAAGGGTTTACATTCTCCATTTTAAAAAGTCTCCTGCATTTCTTGTCAGACACCTGTCTCTCACACCAGGACTTTGCTGCCCCAAGCCAAGGTTTGCCTGCCCAGAGGTGCCCAGATGTTGTTCCCAGGCTCACCTGCTGTCCAGCAGCGCCGTGTCCTTGGGGCTCTGGACATCATAGATGGCCACACATCCATTGGCCATCCCCACTGCCAGCAGATTGGGGCTGGCCAGGGAAAAATCCACAGCAGTGACGCCGTGATCACAGCGGAAAATTCGCTCTGGCCACTGCCCAGGAGAGAAATGCAGCAAAGTTGTGAGTTGGGTCATTCTTTACCTCTCTTTATTTAACATTAAATGTCTGCTGGAAAAGTCAGGTGATGGTGAAATGATTCTCTGTTCTGATTGACTCCATGCATTTCTTGTTACAACTGATAAAATTGGGGAAAAGATAAAGATTGGGCAGAAATATGAAAATAAGTTCGGGCTACTCTAAAGCAAATACCTACAAATGCTTTGGTGACAGCAGGGAATCGTGAGAGTGTTTGGTGGGGTAAAGATGCATCAAAGATTTGACTCTGCCTGGTTTAAATTAGCCTGATGCAGTTTTGGCCAAGAGAAGTTTGTAGCAGAAATCAAACTGAAATGTAATTTATGGCAATCAGAATTTTTTCCCCAGGACATTTTGTAACTGAGATTTCCAAATTTATTTTTTTTTTTAATGGCTGATTTTAAAAGGATCCGTTTTTAGATGGACGTGCAGAGGTGTTAAATGTTCCATCTATAAAACTTCCTCTTTTATTGGACAGTGTTGTGAGAAGTTAGAGTAAATAATTGGAGTTAAAAGGCAAATAAAGCAGAAGTTATCCAGAGAAAAGCAGGATTGCAGGGAAAGCAAACAAAGGGATTGGTTACCATGGGGTTCTTGAGTGACCAACAGCAAGCCAGGCCTTTCTTCTGATCCTGACACACAAACTCTGTGTAACCAACTGCCAGGAGATCCTGCAAGCACAGAACAGCAGAAATAACTCAGCAGGATATTCCCAAAGGCACCTTTGTGTCAGGGCAAACCACCAGGACTTTTCTAGAATCTTATTTTAATCTGCATTATTTAATGCAGTGCAGAAGAACGCTGCTGATTTTTTCCCTCTCAGGGTTAGATGTAAAAGGAGCTTCAGAGAGCACCTCCAAATCCTGGTTTTTTAGTTTTTTACACTCCAGTGAATTCCCCTCGTTGTTTTCCACAGGCAGGAGTTAAAAACACCAGCAAGTTTTCAGCTCCATTAATTTTTCTTTTCTTGCACTCAACAAGTCGTTTGTGAAACTCCCATTTTAGGAGTGGCTGATTTTTTGCCCTGTGTTCTAAGAATGAAGTCTCTAAATGTGTCTGACTTTTTCATATCTGGAGATTTGCTGCATTAAAATATGAAATGTCTTTATTTTCTCTCCTTTTTTTTTTTTTTTTCCCTCACTGGGTTTGTGTTTCTCATCCTCAGGAGCTTTTTATCTCTCTTCCATTCATTATTTTTGTTTAGTAAGTGAGTTCTGTTGGGGAAACAGCTTTACATGACCAGATTAAAGGAGCTTTGGCTTCTGTGCATTTTATTATTAAATTATTATTATGCATCTTATCCTTAAAATTTGGTAATTCTGCTTTTTTTTGGGGGGTTCCTGTTAGAGACAAAGACAAATAAACTCCATCAATGATAATAAAGTTTAGCAGCAGGGGTTAAATTTCAATTTTAGAACAGACCAAGTCTCTTAACATTGCTGTTCAAGGTAAACTGGAGCAATTAATGACATTTTGGGCCAATTAAAGCTGTGATGTGTAGGGAAATCCAAATACAGCCTGTGGATTAAAGCAGTTAGAATGAGGGATTGGATCCATCTTTGAGATCCTTCCAGAATCAGGAGTTAAATTAAATTAAATTAAACAGAATTAAGGCTGTGATCTGTGGGGAAATCCAAATACAGCCTGTGGATTAAAGCAGCAAAAATGAGGGATTGGATCCATTTTTGAGATCCTTCCAGAATCAGGAGTTAAATTAAATTAAATTAAACAGAATTAAGGCTGTGATGTGTAGGGAAATCCAAATACAGCCTGTGGATTAAAGCAGTTAGAATGAGGGATTGGATCCATTTCTGAGATCCCAGCCAGGGAATCCCTCCAGAATCAGGATTTTATTGCCACCAGCCTCGTTGGGAGCAGCTCAGGGATGATTTGTGCACTCACAGGGTTCCCTTTGTTCCAGGCCATGCTGCTCACACTGTGACCACAGGTTAAATCACACCTGTATGACCAGAGCTGCTCCAGGCTGGCACCTGCACCTTCTGCTGGGCTCTGCTTTGGAGCTGATGTTTCCTCCTGCTTCTCCTCTTCCTCTTCCTTTTCCTCCTCATCCTCTTCCTCTTCAGCTCCTTCCTCAGGCTCTGAGGTAACAACAGGTTCTGAAATGCACAGATGTGGAATCTGATTTCACTTAACCTCACTCTAATTATTCACAACAGAAGAAAAATTTACCCTTTCAGCAAATATTTTGTAGGGGGGGAAAAAATTTTAAAAAAAAGAAGATTTAAGGAATGAAGACAACCTAACTTCTGAACCTGTGACTAAAACTGGCTGGGGACAGAGCAGACACAGCTGGACTGGGCTGAGTGAGCCAGCTGTGCTGCAGGTGGCTTTAGCTACCCAGCCCAAAATGAGGAATTTCTCTGGAAAATGAGGAATTTCTGGCTGGAAGAGGTTACTGAGCAAAGAACAAACCTGTCAGGACAGGAATGTGCCGATAGAGTGCGAGTTTGGGTTGGAAAATGTTCTCCATGAGAATCCTCTCCATGACAACTAAATGGTGCTGCAGGTTTGCTGAAGATAAAATCTCCTCTGAGCTGCATCCCTGCTCCTCGTGGATCCTGGCAGGAACAGCACTCTCTGCAATGATCATGGGAAAAATTAAATCACACAATTATGGGATATTCCAGGATGGAATGGATCCACAAGGATCAGAGAGAAATGGGATAGAAATGCTTTGGATGGGATAAAACTTCACACAGGGGTAAGAATTCTCCACTTACCAAAAAGCAAAGCATTAAAAAAAAATACTTTCACTATAAATTTTTTCTTGTTATAATTTTCTCTTCTTAAATTTTTCATCATCTTAATTATAATTTTCTTATCTTTTTCAGATATTTCTGGACTTTTTCACAAATGGTGTTTTGCTTTTGCTTTTTCAGGTGATTACCAGCAAACCTCGTCCCTGAATATTTATCTTTATGAGAAATGACAAATGTTACCTGTGGCAGAAAGGACAGCCTGACTGTGCTCTTCAGCTGAAGGAGATTTGCTGCTTTTCCCTGCTGGAGTTCTGGGTTTTTCTGAGTGTGCAGGTTCTGTTTTTGAGGATTCCAGTGAATGATCCAAATCCCAGGAAGTCACCATCATCCCTGGGAATGAATTTCCCTTCACACAAGGCTCTTGTTTTTGGGTAAATTATTGCAAGGAGTTTCCTGCTGGGCTGGGGGGGAGCTTTGGAACCAGCTCTGTTTCCAAAGAAATTTGAACTGATAATTTTGATTTAATATTTTAATTTCATCTTTTAAGTGCTATCTTTTGCAAATTCACAGAAAAGGTTGCCTGTGCTTAATAAGAATCATTAAAGGAGGTAAAATAACTTGAAAGTTCCTCCTCTTGTGTGACTGCTGCAGCTCCATCAGGGTTTTTTTTTTGGGGTGTTGTTCCCCTTGAGCAGGATCAGCTCCCACCCAAAACTTGCCTCGATGTCCTCAGGGGTTGGAATGAGCCCTGCTGATGCTCCAGGCACACCAAAAAAAAAATGTTTTCAAACCAAATTATTATCTACTTTGGGGTTTATTCCCTCATTTTACAGACACTAACACAAAGGAAAAGTGTTTGGAACAGCATTCCCCATAATTTTGTTTGGGACACACAGAAATAACATTCTCTGGGAGTGCTAATAACATTTTAATTGCAATGGATTCAGTGTGCCAGCACTAAATTCAAGATTTAGGAGGGGCAGAAAAGGCCACCACAACCCAGACTGTCCTGTCTGAACTTAAAGCTCTGGAAGTTGAGGAAACATCTCCTGCTTAGAGATGGAAATGAAAAAAAAAATCTCTTTTCTCCCAGGTTTACCTTTCTCTGCCACGGTGATTTTCTCACATTGCACTTCCTTGGTTTTGGCAGCTCCTGAGATGGTTTGAACCATTTTTTCTTCGAAGTACTCACTGTCAATTTTAGCATTGCAAATCTCTGCATAAATCTTATTCCTCTCCCTGGAAAACAAAGGAAACACGGGCTGGTGAGTGCCTGGAAAAATTCTACCTGGAATTCTCAGTGTCTTTAACAAGAGAGGTTTTTCCACGTCTTAAATTTCCTGCTTTTTTTGGGGGGATTGCTGGATGTTATTTCAGCCTTTTGTATCATCCTGATCTTTGTGGTGCTTTTCTAAAACAGGAATGGCCTGTGGAGAGCAGAAAACCAAAAAAAGCAGAAATCCTTTTTCCAGCTGCCTGGGAACTTTGGGGGAATTCAGAGTTCAGAGCTCTCCTCACTAGGGAGTGAAAGGCAGAGCACCAAGAGATAAAAAGGAAACTTCTCCTTTTCCATCTCAGCATTTCCACCAAAGTTCTGGTGCTTCAGGGAGCACCAAGGGGAGCTGCCTGCTATGTTGAATTCCTAAATAATGACAAGCTACACACAAGAATCAATGCAGCAGCTTGAAATGTCTTAACTATTTCCAGGAAAATCAATTTATCACACTCCTCCAGCCCTGGGTTTTCCTAACCTGCCATCAGTTTTCAGTGGAAAGGAATAAGAATTTCCTCCAGGATCTGGAGCTGTAAGAAATGGGAGGTTTTGCTGATGGTTTTAGCTTTTATATTTTTTCAGAATCTCTGCTGCTCAGTGTGTAACTCTGACATTTCATGTTAGGTGTTGGTGAGTTCTGTTCTCAGGGGAGTGACAGAACAATTCCTTTCAAGGTAGAGAATCAAGGACAACAAAAATTAGACACAGTGGGAAGGGAAAAGGGGGCAAGGCAGGGGCTGAGACTGCACAGCCTGGGGCTGTGAGGGGATCATTGACCCCAATGTGTGCATGAACCAAAACCTAGAAAATGTGACTTAAAAATCATGACCAGGATCCAGCTGGGAGTTGGTTTGGGTGCAGCCCCAGCCAGGCTCTAGCATAGCCCAAGGTGAATCCTTCCAATCAATTCCTGGTTTACCCTTCCAATCAATTCCTGTTTTATCCTTCCAATCAATTCCTGTTTCATCCTTCCAATCAATTCCTGTTTTATCCTTCCAATCAATTCCTGTTTCATCCTTTCAAACAATTCCTGTTTCATCCTTTCAATCAATACCTATTTTATCCTTCCAATCAATTCCTGTTTTATCCTTCCAATCAATTCCTGGTTTATCCTTTCAATCAATTCCTGTTTCATCCTTTCAATCAATTCCTGTTTTATCCTTCCAATCAATTCCTAATTTATTTCTTTTGCTCTGTCCATTCTCTGTTCCAGCTCAGCTTTTACTCACTCACAGAACTCTGAGTGCTCACTCAGAGCTCAGTTTTCACTCTCAGAACTCTCATTCCTCACTCAGAACTCAGTTTTCACTCCCAGAACTCTCTATTTTCACTCCCAGAATTCAGTTTTCACTCCCAGAATTCAGTTTTCACTCCCAGAACTCTCTATTTTCACTCCCAGAACTCTCTATTTTCACTCCCAGAACTCTCTATTTTCACTCCCAGAACTCTCTATTTTCACTCCCAGAACTCAGTTTTCACTCCCAGAACTCTCAGTTTTCACTCCCAGAACTCTCAGTTTTCACTCCCAGAACTCTCAGTTTTCACTCCCAGAACTCTCAGTTTTCACTCACAGAACTCTCCCAGCCTCCTGTGTCTCCGTGGACACCAGGGCAGTTGGCAGATCCAACATCCAGAGCGTTTCTGTTTCTGTCAGGATCATTTCCACCCTCTGCTCCAGCTCTGCTTCTGTCAGGGCTGCTTCCCCTTCCTCCTGCTCACCTGGAAAACCAGGACAACAAAACAACACTCCAAATTAATTAAAAATTTAATTCTGGAAGGCCCTGGGTTAGCTCAGGGTCTCATAATTCCCAGAATAGATAATTTTATGGATTATATTTGTAAATATTGAGTGTGTTCTTTACCAGACAAGCTCAAAGCTGGGTTTTGCTGAGGTTCTGTCTCATTTAAGCCAGACTTGGTTGTTGAAATGCTGATTCCACGTGTCCTTCAGGGACAAGAAACAAGCAGGAATTGTCTCAAAAAATGCAAAAAAAAAAAAAAAAAAAAGTGTTTTATTTTCTGCAGCTACTTTGCATTTTGAAGCCGTTTTTAATGTATATTTGCTCCTGGTTGATATCCCAACCCCTTTGGAAAAACCAGCCTGGGAAAAATGGCAAAAAAAAAAAAAAAGTCATGTCTTCATCTCAGAAATCAATGTTTACCATTGTAATTATCAGTTGTGAATAATTCCAATTATTCCTTGCATTTTGATAATGCCATGGCTCAGGATTTTTCATCTAGAACACCAATAATTATTTACCTTCTTTGCAGGACTTAATTGAGTTTGTCAGCCCAAAATCCACACACTTTGGGGTTTTTTTTCCCTCTGTGCTGGAGGTTTGTAAATGAAAATGTAGTGAAACATAATTTTGGGGGGTTTTAACTCCAAATTTTTTGTTCAAGAGCATTTTTGGAGATGGATGCACATAATCCCACAGAAGTAACTTGCTTAAATATGATTAAAGCTGAGAATTCTTATTATGTTAAATATATTTGGACACAATGATCTTGAAGGTCTCTTCCAACCGAGTCATTCTGTGAATATTTTGATAGCTGAAGTGATATTTTTAATATTTTAAATTCGATATTTGAATTTATATACGTAATAATTTTGCATTAAAAGTTGCCTGCACTGACTAAACATCACTAAAACAGATAAAAAATACTTTGAGATGAACTTTTCTTGCCTGGTTACAGCGTTTGGGTCTGGCTGGAAGAGGGGATGTGGTGTCACATTCTTCCCTTCCTCATCAAAAACCTGAAGAAAAATGGAATTAATTAGGATAATTGGCCTGCAGGGATCAGCTCCAGCTTGCTGGGATTTTTTTGGGAAAAGCCACATTCCTGTCACTGTCAGCCCCATTCCTGCTTCTCCCTCTTCCAGCTCATGCCTTCCCTAACCACCACCAAGGCTCAATCATTGATTCTGATTAATCCAGCCTAATTAACAGAGCAGACAAATCAATCAGATGAATAATTACACATTTTTTTTCGTGATAGTTTTTAAAATATTTCAGTGCAGGAAGGTGAGTGAAGTGCTGAAACGATTCCCAGGGAATATTCTGGATTTTGGGTGAAGACAGGAGCTGCTCCAGTGACAAATATCAGATGAGAAATGTTAATTATTGTCAAACTGGGGCTGTCCCCATCCCTGGAAGTGTCCAAGGGCAGCTTGGAGCACCCTGGAATGGTGGGAGCTCCCTGTGCTTGGGAATGGGATGGGCTTGGAAGTGCAACCCAACCATTCCAGGGCTCC